TAGGAAATCTGATGTGTTCCCGCAGCATCTAGATATAGGTAGGAAATCTGATGTGTTCCCGCAGCATCTAGATATAGGTAGGAAATCTGATGTGTCCCCGCAGCATCTAGATCTAGATAGGAAATCTGATGTGTTCCCGCAGCATCTAGATCTAAAAAGGAAATATAATGCGTGGGGGATAGGGGTACAGTCGGGCTCACAAAGCTGTGGAATAAAAATACGGCTTTAAAACTAAAGATATGCTTTAGAATAGTCCAATTAATATAACAAATAATTGTGCAGTATACACAAACCCAGTTCAGTTTGATGGGTTTCACTGCATAAATTGTTAAATTAGAAGTGGTTTTAATGAAAATTTAATAACTTCATTTAACATCATAAATTTTGCCCTTTCTCGGCATGGTTATAAATCCTATATTTAGATACTTGAATTCAGTTTTCCCTTGGATCTCGTTGTATCGTTGTATGTACAACAAATAATCCAAAAAATGTCGGCGGTCGTTTTTAGTCCATGGAAGTTAAAACAATGGCGAGCAGAAATCATGTGATTACATTTTATTTAAATTAGACATATTGTCCAAATTATATATTTTTATTATTATTATTCTCTTAACATTCCTTTGCTCCAGGTGCAAGCGGGATATCTGAACGATCTCATAGTTTCAACGATATCTGTGCCTACTCGGATACTCAGTCCTATGAGATAATAAACCTGGATCCAGCTCTCCTACCCTTCACTCACTCAAGGATACATACATCTGCTGGTCTCACTACCCTACCAGATATTGAGGCTCCATCCTCCTCTTATGCTCAGGGAGCACCAGAACCATGGAAATCTCCGGGTATACAGAGCAATAGGCAGGGAGGATCCTACTATAACTCTAGGCGGGTCTATTATTATAATATCAACAATCTTTTCTCTTCAGTAAAACTTATTATTTTCTAATTTTACAAAATTTTGATTATTATCTATTTTTCTAATTCCACATAATTTGAATTATTCTTAACAAAAAGTTTCATGATTTATTTAGCTTTGTTAAAACAAACCGAACGAAGCTAACCGATACTGATCTAATGTAATCCCCTTGTTACTAATATGCCAATTTTAATCTATAATATTCCCCTTGTTGCTGCTATGTCTATGTTGATCTATAATATTCCCCTTGTTGCTGCTATGTCTATGTTGATCTATAATATTCCCCTTGTTGCTCCTATGGCTATGTTGATCTATAATATTCCCCTTGTTGCTCCTATGGCTATGTTGATCTATAATATTCCCATTGTTGCTGCTATGCCTATGTAGATCTATAATATTCCCCTTGTTGCTGCTATGCCTATGTTGATCTATAATATTCCCCTTGTTGCTGCTATGCCTATGTTGATCTATAATATTCCCCTTGTTGCTCCTATGTCTATGTTGATCTATAATATTCCCCTTGTTCTATGCCTATGTTGATCTATAATATTCCCCTTGTTGAGTATAGGTATGAGGAGGATTCCAACCCTCTCCTGGTGGAACATATCTCTATGCTTCAAGATTTGTCCTGCAGGTCTCTTGCAAATGTTGGTGATGTCATCCTTGAAAATGTACAAAATATCTTAGTAATTCAAAATTAGAATTCAAAAGTCAAAGCGGAAAAATACCTTTAGCTATATACCTGTCCCACATGCATGCTCTATGTGTTTCTATTTTTAGTAGTATTTTAAAGAAGAAAGAAGGAAAAAACAAAAAAATTGAAAAAACCGTTGTGATTTCACTTTGATTCTTGCGAGTAACTGATAATGTGGAAGATATTGGTTTTTATTTTCTGGGCATGCCCCTGATGAGTTGAAATAACATCTACAGTTCCTTTCAAGCGTACGAGGGGGGGGGGGGTTACTTTAGCTTTGTGCGCCGAAATTGGAAAGAAACAAAACAAACTTTTTCTTTTGAGCAAAGTTTTAGAGTGAATAGATCATTATTCTACAGACTACTAGATTTTTTCTTTTATCCCCCCGAACACATTTAAGATAAACAAGACTATAAAACATTCCCTTAAACTTTAAAGAATTAAATACCGGGGACTTTTTTAGTATTGCCGCTAGATTATTTGAAAACTACAGGTTCAGTAAAAAAACGTGGAAAACATTATCTTACACAGGGCCGTGTCTCACTAAAATTGGTAAAGAGGGATTTCATGAAGATGACAAAAGTTTGTATCAAAAAATGGTGAACGAGGGGCTTTTAAGCTTTCCGTAAGTTCGTTTAGATTTCCGTAGGTCGTTTAGCTTTCCGTAGGTCGTTTGGCTTTCCGTAGGTCGTTTAGCTTTCCGTAGGTCGTTTAGCTTTTCGTAGGTCGCTTTGCTTTCCGTAAGTTTGTTTAGCTTTCCGTAGGTCGTTTAGCTTTCCGTAGGTCGTTTAGCTTTCCGTAAGTTCGTTTAGCTTTCCGTAAGGTGGTTAGAAATTCCAAAGTGATTTGACTGTTGCAATTTTGGTTTTTTCAACAAACTGAAGTTTGAAATGGCAGAACTAGGACCATCAGGACACAGAGGTCTTTTATCACTTTTAGGATAATGGTTTCAAAAATAGAATATTTTGTCATTTGAAAGAGCATCAATCATTCCTGTACTTAAACATATTTTAACATAATAACAATATTTGCTTCGTTTAGAAGGTAAACCAAGTCGTCTATACTCTCAATGCAATTTAACATGGGAAACCAATTGTTTTGTAATTGATTTGCAAACTGGAGTAAAGTTACCCCCCGCTAGGAATGGGCACATTAATTATTTGTGAAATACGTTCGTGCCCTGACCGTTGCTTGATCCTTGGTCATTAAAATCAAGTTGATTGTTTTCATAGATCTTATCAACCCTGTTTTATAAATTAATGTTTATAAAAGGCTTTTAAATGGGATTGTAGCAATGATCCTTTATGTAAAGTTCAATGATCCTTTATGTAAAGATCAATGATCCAATTTATGTAAAGTTCATTGATCTTTTATGTAAAGTTCATGATCTTTTATGTAAACTTTATGTAAAGTTCAATGATCCTTTATGTAAAGTTCAATGATCCTTTATGTAAAGTTCAATGATCCTTTATGTAAAGGTCAATGATCCTTTATGCAAAGTTCAATGATCCTTTATGTAAAGTTAAATGCTCTTTTATGTCCGTTCCAAAAGGGTACAGTAAAAGCTTTGTCTGATCAAATGTAATTTAGAAATCAATGTTTATAATTTCAAAAACGGATTATTTTAAATTGTTGTTGCTCTACAAACGTGAATGTTAAACCTAGAAACACGACAACATCTTCCACATTATTGATCAAATAAAGGCGTCAATGGTACCATTGTGAATAGGAAATTTCCATCTTTGCATGGTGACTGACTTCAAGTTACTCTTACAGTCCCCTCTTTTATTTTTTTCTGATATTTGATTGTTTGTTTGTTTGTTAATGTAGTCTTTAACTAAAATCTAAAACTAGAAAAATAATCGATTTCTGTTCAACCCTCCGCTGTATTTGTTAAATTATATTGTAAATGTAAAGTTTAGGAGGTGTGTTACAAAATTATTTTTTATTCTTATTTTTCTTTGGGGTTTATAACAGTTGAGAAACTTGATTCATTGACTAACTTTTAAACCGTAAAAAAATTTTCCCCCCCCCCCCCCCACTTCGATTCAGAAAAACGAGTACAATTGTTTAATTATTGTAAATATCCTATTCTATGTTTAGGTTCTGTAGTAAGGAAACAACTGATCCTGGACACAGAGACTGCTCTAAACTCAAAATATTCACCAGAGGTATCCTTACAGTTCGGAGGCAGAATTTTGTACGCGAATTCAGAGGCACAATTTCTACATCCCAAATGTTAGGAGGGAAACGTTTTGCCTCGTTGTGCTTCGGAGGCATTTAACAATTTATGGTTCGGAGGCACAAGTTTTCTTACCAATTCTTACGAATTAAGGCATAAATTTGTTAAAAGATCAAGTTTTGGAGGCAAGAGTTTGGAGGCACAAATTTTTCTAAGAATTTCTGGTCTTAAAGGGACTGTAAAGGAAAAATGAAAGGGGGTATTGGCAGAACCCTAAATTAATTAGGAGTTGATCGAAACCCTTGCGAGGTCTACCTAATGTTCCTGTCTCGAGAAATTGATAAAAAATAAACGGTGTCGAATTTTTACAAAAATCGTCCAAATTTTGTATAAAATTCGTAGGTTTAAGCAGATCACATTAGGAAAATAAATACGCAACCAATCTGAAAACGACGATATCACATGGGAGCCTAAGTAACTTAGGTTTGCTTCTATTATTATTTGATTTTAATAATTTTTCATTTTTGATAGATATATTGGATGAATATATATATTTATTATATTGTAGAAGCAATAATTTGAGTCTCTATATGAAGTTAAAAATGCACGAGAATTATGAGGAAAATCCGAGAACAGGAAAACTGGAATCCATTGGCCGAATTTAATGAATTTGAGCGGCGGTTTAAATTTAAGCCGCGGTTTAAATATGGTTGGTTCCACTACAAATTGTATCAAATGTTTCAAGATTTAAACCGGCGCTTAATTTAAACCAGGTTTTGGCGGATTTAAACCGCGGCTTAAATTCTTTAAATTCCATCTCATATCAATTATATCGATTAAAAATTAAAAATTAAAATCATAAAATTAAAAAAAGCAAACCTAAGTTTCTTAGGCTCCTTCGGGATATCGTGGTTTTCAGATTGGTAGCGTATTTGCTGAATATGTTTTGTCTAAACCTACTATTTTTATACAAAATTTGGTATATTCCGATTTTTTTGCGTAGCAATTTAGGGTTAGGAGGCATCAGTCCAATTTTTGCGTCGGAGGCTTACGTATTCTCAACAAAATTTATACCTACGATTTGAAATTCATATCGCATTGATCCGTTGTTTTCTGAACTTCTTTTATTTTGTTGTGAATGAGAGTGCAGCAGTATGCAGTGCAGTACATAAATAAGAGAAAGAGTTAATTAAACCTTCAAATATCATTCTATAGTTGTTTAAGTGCAAACTGCATTAAAAAGTGCAAGTTTCTGTTACCAACTGGACGGGGGGGGGGGGGGACAGGGGGAAACAAAAAACTTTGAAATTTTCATCGTCTGTTTATTTCCTTTTAATGATTAAAAGTCGCCAATTATTTTGTAATCTGGAGGTATACGCCGCTGATGGTATGCGCAGCTGATGATAAAAGTAGCTGATGGTATGCGCAGCTGATGATAAAAGTAGCTGATGGTATGCGCAGCTGATAAATAAAAAAACCTCAACAGAACAGATTTCGAAATATACAACAGTTGCAATCATTAAATATTACAAACAAGAAAACCTTGGAAACTTTTTTTGAGGAAAAACACAAAGACAACGTTCAATCTTCTCTCCAGACATGAAGGAGACATCTGTATACATCTCCTATTGTACTGATGCTGTGAAATTACTATAGGAGAAACTGATATTACTATCGAATAGGTTTAACATAATTTATCTTTGACATCCCTAAGGATGTAACCCTGAGACAAAAAAATGTGTGTAATGCATGGAGTGTGCAATTTCGCAAAGAAACTAAAACAATTTTAGAATTTTAATTTCTAATTTTTTTCCAACCTTTGCTTTGAAAACATTTTTGACACTGAAGGAATTGAGTCTTTGCAACAAACTCTTATTTTTTATCCATATATCATTGCACCCCAATGTCTTTGCGAAAATTTGAGTTTGTCACAAAAACTCAATTCCTTTCAGGTTTAACATATGCAATTTGCATATTGTATATCAAACTTTAGCTTAGTTTTTTATTTAATTTTTGTTTTATTTTCATGCATCTTAATGTATATATTATAGACAATTCATAATATTACACGACGCGATTGCAAAAGAAAACTGGAATGAATGAAAAAAAAATATAAAAATCTAATTTATGCTTTTAATTTCAGGTTTGGTGAAGAAGGAGAAGGGAAGCAGTTTAAGGTAATGACAGCCTTCATATTCATATTTAAAATTTAAAGGGACTGAAATCTCTTCTATTTTACTCAAACCTCTTCTATTTTATTCAAATCTCTTCTATTTTACTCAAATCTCTTCTGTGTTACTCAAACCTCTTCTATTTTACTCAAACCTCTTCTATTTTACTCAAACCTCTTCTATTTTACTCAAATCTCTTCTGTGTTAATCAAACCTCTTCTATTTTACTTAAACCTCTTCTATTTTACTCAAACCTCTTCTATTTTACTCAAATCTCTGTTTTAATCAGCTGTGGAACAGGGCTCTTCCAGAAAGGGCTTCGATCGCTTAGGGTGTAAAGCCGGATTATCATTAGACATATTAGATTCCTTTTTTTCTTCTTTATTCTTCTAGGTTCTTATTTCTCGACTTAGTACCCCGACCGTAAATAGGAGGTTAACTAATTGAGCTGGGGTTTCATGGCCGCTTGGCCTTCCCTCCCTTCAATGTGTAAAGCCTTTAAAAAGGCCCATATATACAAAGTCTAGAGAGCAGTCTAGTAGGTGTGACCATCATGCTGACCTAGGCACAACTGCTCAAGCCTCTTCTATTTTACTCCAACCTCTTTTATTTTACTCAAACCTCTTTTATTTTACTCAAACCTCTTCAATTTCAATCAAACCTCTTCTATTTTTTCAAACCTAGTTTATTTTACTCTTTTTTACTCAAACCTCTTTTATTTTAATCAAACCACATCTATTTTACTCAACCTCTTTTGTTTTAGTCAAACCTCTTTTATTTTACTTGAACCTCTTCTATTTTACTCAAACCTCTTTTATTTTACTGAAACCTCTTTATTTTACTTAAACCTCTTCTCTTTTACTTAAACCTCTTATATTTTACTCAAACCTTTTTTATTTTACTCAAACCTCTTCTATTTTAACCTATTCTATTTTTTCAAACCTCTTATATTTTACTCAAACCTCTTTTATTTTACTCAAACCTCTTCTATTTTACTCAAACCTCTTTTATTTTAGTCAAACCTCTTCTATTTTAGCCCAACCTCTTCTATTTTAGTCCAACCTCTTCTATTTTACTCAAACCTCTTCTTTTTTCCTCAAACCTCTTTTATTTTAGTCAGACCTCTTTTATTTTACTTGAACCTCTTCTATTTTACTCAAACCACTTTTATTTTACTTAAACCTCTTTATTTCACTTAAACCTCTTCCATTTTACTTGAACCTCTTATATTTTACTCAAACCTTTTTTATTTACTCAAACCTCTTCTATTTTACTAAAACCTCTTTTATTTTTTCAAACCTCTTTTATTTTACTCAAAGCTTTTTTATTTTACTTAAACCTCTTTTGTTTTGCTTAAACCTCTTCTATTTTACTCAAACCTCTTTTATTTTATTCAAACCTCTTTTATTTTACTTCAGCCTCTTTTATCTAACATAAAATACAGTAAACATATAATAATAATCATAATGTATACCATTACCGTCCTACATTTGTTTATATAATATATATCTAGTGTATCACGTCCTATCTATATTTAATGTATATAGTGTATCCCGTCGATCCCTACCTATATTTATATATGATATATCTAGTGGATATATCCCGTCCTACCTATATATAATATATCTGGTGTATCCCGTCCTACCTATATATATAATATATCTAGTGTATCCTTTCCTACCTATATATATAACATATCTGGTGTATCCCGTCCTACCTATATATAATATATCTAGTGTATCCCGTCCTACCTATATATATATATATAATATATTTGGTGTATTCTGTCCTACCTACCTATATAATATATCTGGTGTATCCCGTCCTACCTATACATATATAATATATCTGGTGTATCCCGTCCTACCTATATATATAATATATCTGGTGTATCCCGTCCTGCCTATATATGATATATCTGGTGCATCCCGTCCTACCTATATATATAATATATCTAGTGTATCCCGTCCTACCTATATATATATAATATATCTAGTGTATCCTGTTCTACCTATATTTATAATATATCTGGTGTATCCCTTCCTACCTATATATATAATATATCTAGTGTATCCCGTCCTACCTATATATATAGTATATCTGGTGTATCCCGTCCTACCTATATATATATAATATATTTGGTGTATCCCGTCCTACCTATATATAATATATCTAGTGTATCCCGTCCTACCTATATTTATAATATATCTGGTGTATCCCGTCATACCTATATATAATATATCTAGTGTATCCCGTCTTACCTATATATATAATATATCTAGTGTATCCCGTCCTACCTATATATATAATATATCTAGTGTATCCCGTCCTACCTATATATATAGTATATCTGGTGTATCACGTCCTACCTATATATATAGTATATCTGGTGTATCCCGTCCTACCTATATATATAATATATTTGGTGTATCTCGTCCTACCTATATATAATATATCTAGTGTATCCCGCCCTACCTATATTTATAATATATCTGGTGTATCCCTCCTACCTATATATAATATATCTAGT